ACATCGACATCGACATCGACATCGACATCGACATCGACATCGACATCCACATCGACATCGACATCATCGACGACATCGACATCATCGACGACATCGACATCGACATCATCGACATCGACATCATCGACATCATAAACGACATCGACAGACCTTGGTTACGAGAAGGCGCTGTGAATGGTGTCCTTCAATAACTCATTTCTAGATTTTGCGGCAGTGATACATTTACGCTTAAGTCTGCAATGTGACTGAGCTCTGAGGGTAGCGGTGAGGCCTTCTGAAGGAGAGGAGCGGGGCGGTGACAGGGGGCAAAGATACGCGCACACAAAGCTTCGGTGAAGGTTGGGTTGCCTACCCACCGGGCGCCCCATGTCAGTATTAAAGTAGATGGACATTATTTTTCAACACAGGTCAATGATTAGTCCTGTCCAAAGGAAGATCCATTACAAAATTGACTTGGACGGACTCTACATCCAAGTTTATACCTTAAGTCAATGATACGTTCGTCCAATATAGATTTTCGAAAAATTAAATAACATTGTTCACAAAAAATGGTGTTCGTGTTTGGGAACTACGCCATATTTTCCATATGTTTTTAGAATCACTAAATTAAAATCCGGTGTCCATTTTACTCTATCACATCAGGTTTTTAACATAACCTAAAAAGTAAAATCTGATTTCAATACATTTTCAAACATTTCTAACAAATACAAAAATCTTTCTGAGGGTCACCTCTAGGTGGCTGTGTTTTCAGCTGGTTGGCATTCTGCATGGAAGAATTTTTGAATCAGACAGACAAATGATACATATCATTTAGACTCTGAGGATAAATATCTGCAAATTCCAAATGATATCATGAAAGAAACGGAATGTGATATTTCAAAATTATTTACGAAAAAGAGTACGAATGTTTTTTGAAAATGGAGAAATGTCAGAAGATAAGGGAAGTCTCAGAAGAAATGATACTTGCATATTTTAACAATAACTCAAAAACTTAGAAGTCTTCTTCGTTTTGGAGGTATTATTCAGTGGGCAGGGTAACGTTAATGTCAAGGAAAATATGCATGGCTTTAAGTAAGTTCGTATGTATGTATCTCTCTAGGAAAAATGTTTGAAGCTACGTGGCACTTCAACAATTTACAGTTTATAATTTCCTTCACACAAGGTTGTATGAAAGTGTGTGCACGTGCACCACTTTCTTTCACAACATCAGCTGTGGCTGAAAATAACAAAATAAATATGTCCTATGTACAATTTCTTTGTAGGCAATAGTGTTTCCAAATCGCTCGTACTTAGAAATTGAATTTTGTTGCCTCCCGTGTCCTCAATTCCCTCGCACTTTACTAGTTCTCCCCGGCCGAGGTAAACTTTATCTACTTGTTGCGCTTGTTGCACTTGTTGCGCTTGAACCGTTACCCCGGCCGACGTGAACTTTATATACTTGTTGCGCTTGAACCGTTACCTCCCGTATTTCCAAGACCTGACCTTGCGTCGCGTGCACTGGCCTCTGCGTCGACGCCGCTGGGTCCCGGCTTCTGCGACGCCAAGGACGGGACTCGCCCCTGCCGACTGCTTCCTTCTCGCGTCCTCTTTCGGCCTTGTGCTCCCGGCTCCGTTTTCTTCTGCCTCCTATGCTCGGCTCCGCCCTCGTCTAACTCCTCGTCATCTACGCTCGGCGCCTTTTACTACGCCCGCGTGGTAAAAGTTTCTTGCACCTGACAGAACCACTCGTGCAAGTTTCTCGTCCGCTGCTGATTACTTAACTAAACTTTAACGCGTACTGGTTTCCTAACAACGGGTTAATTCACTGCCCGTGTCGTAAACTGAAGAACTACCTTCTTCCAGAAATCTATAATATCTCGCGGACGACTGACTACAACGTCTGTCCGACGTCGAACACTCCCAACTAAATGTCGTTGCTGCGACGAACAATATCTAAGGCGAAAGAGCTGGCTTGACGAGCGGGAACAAAAAGAAACTACCCAGGGCCCTATAACTCCCATATAACGTGGTGGGGACCACTACAGTGGCGCGCTCCAGAGCTTCACCTTCTTACGCGAACCAAAACACGAACTGCTACCAACGTTATTTAAAACGTGCGTGGGTTCTCGGGACGCAAACACAGGCGCTTGATACAAAAGATCGCGCTACCTTTTCTTTCATGCGTGTATTATTATGAATAAATGAATTTTAGAAGATAAACACATAATATTTAACTTCTTTTGTATTTTTCAGAAATCGCTCATAATCAAAGTGTATTTGTATTTCTTGACCAATTTTTATGTGCGAACGTTGGCGAGCCTTACCAGCAGCTATATCCGGCGACACTAGCGCATCCTATAGTAGCAACTTCTAGGTTTGTCCCCAATTTTGATGGAGAGTTGCCGGGCCCAGAGGCTACCGCTAGCGGGTCCGCGTATTTATGAACACGCCCTCCGATGTAGGGGTAGCGCGGCGTCTCCCCCTCTCCGGCTCATTTCACGTTACTGGTATTTACTGCGCTGCCCAGCGGTCACTGCAGGCAACAGTCTCTTTGGCGGCGGGCGCGCCCATTTTGAACTGCGCTGCGCTCGCTCACCCGTTCTGCTACAGGCGTTCTTGTGACGTGTGGGCATGGGGAACGAACCTACTCACACGCGTTCGTCACAGTGTATTTTTTTGAAAATGCAGGTAGTTTTTGTATAATGTGTTCTTGAAATTAATGCAATTTTTAAATGAATATTTTCTTAAAAACCGCTCCAGATTTCTTATACATTTTCTCCTCACATATATGATAGTAATAACAATGGTGCGAGTCAAATTTTCGGCACGTTGTCGAAAATTGCAAAAACATAACATTTGATAACTACAAAATTGAAGTTAGAGAATTTCTTCTCATACTACATCTGTTCCTAACTAAATCTGATTAAGTTAGGTGCATTTTTCAAAAGTGAGTAGTTTTCACATAATTTCTAATAGAAATTATTATATGCATATTATTAAAGGTACACTTCCTCAAAAAACACTTCAATTTTTAAAAAAGTTTTTAACAGAACAACAAAGGACGTTAAAAATATTGGTGAAGGTTTCAGTTTTTGTTGGTAACACTGGTTGTTCATTTATCACCGTGCTCGCTTTCCATAACACGAACCCGGGTTCTATTCCCGGTAAGGGCAAAGATTATTTGTGCGCCTTCCTTGTAATGTCCCAGTATCTGTTGTGTGGCGGTGAGAAAGCTCACTTTTCAGGTTGAGAAGACCGGAATAGGACATGGGGATGTCTATGTGTTGAGCACACGTGCCCCTTAACTCATGGCTGCAAGGGCGGGACACCGCTGGTAGGCCATGGCCCCGTCAGAGGCTGTTGTGCCAGTACTGACAGTCACATAGATAGTTTTTACTGGTGGAGGAGGTATTTTATAATTTACAAGTTTTTCCAACCCAATAAATCAAAGAGAGAAAAAATATTTGGCGGAGTTGCATTTGGCTCAACTTTACCGGCTGTATTGCATATTTTTTACAGATGTACTGGAAAATGTCCAGATAAATTCTCTTCACTCATGGCGGCTC